ATTGTAGTGGGCACCTGTAGTCCCAGCTGCTTGGGAGGCTGAGGCAACAGAATCACTTAAGCCCAAGAGTTGGAGGTTGCTGTGAGCTGGGACGCCACGGCACTCTATCGAGGGCAACATAAAGGGACTCTGTCTCAAAAAAAATAAAAAATCAAGTGCTTTTCAACTTTCACAGAAGTTTTATTAATTAGAATAAAAAATAGCATTCTTTTATTAACAGGATCATTGGTTTATGCTTAAAAACGGAACTAATAAGAAAATGTAGCATAGCAAAATGTCTTGTACATATAACATTTAGAATACATGTGTCTGTTTGTCATAGAAACTTCAAGTTAGAAGGGATTCTGGACAATAATTAGACCAGTCCACTGTTTTCCAGGTGAGGAAATTGAGACCCATAGAGGAGAGAAGCAGACCATCCTAGGGCCCCATCATCAGTCAGGCAAAGCATAAAGCACAGTCAAGCCAGGAGATGAACAACTCAGGAATAATAAGAGGAAACCTTTTATGTGCCGGTTTTGCAGATAAACAGTAGAAAGCGGTGGTCACCCAAGGAAATATTACCTTCTAGGTGCGTCCCACAGCCCAAGTCACAGCTTCACGTTGATGACTCACTTTTAACTCTGGCTCAGTATTTTCCCAACTGTGACTTGTCCTGTGTTTTATATGTATTCTAAAAATCTGTTCTAAAGAAGCAAGTTTGAATCGACTGGTTGCTGTCAGTAGCAATCAGTTTAACAGGAGAATTTTCTTGGCAGAAGCAGATAAGTCAGATAGTGTCACCATTGAATTTGTTTTTCCTGCCTCACAAAATCCAGGTAAGACCTGGAGTCCCTGGCAGAGGCCATCCTGGTTACCTAATTGATCTTTTACTTCTACCTATTCAGAAGACCCCTGAATCTAGAAACTTCTCATCTCATTGAAGGGTTTGAGTCTGCAGTTTGCTTTAATCCAAGTTATGTAACTTAATTAACAAATGAAAAATAATAATGTACAAATTAAGCAGTAACTAATAAGAACACACAGCTGACCTGACCCTTAGGAAACTCCTGCCAAAAAAAAGAGTGTTCTTATATGGAAATTGTTTTGAACCTGTTTTCCTGCAGTGGAGTACCCCTCTCACAGGATGACTGTTGCAAAAATCTGTGTGGCATGTCTGGGTTTGGGGTGTGCGATTGATCATAATGAACTAGTTTCTGTCTTATGTTCTGCAAATGCCTAGCAGTTCAGACAACTAGGGAAACACCTTAGTTATCCAAAATTCCAGACTTCCAGCTTCCACAAGCAATCCAGAATGCCAATTATAGAACTAGGGAAAAAGAAAAAAAAAGATGTCTGGCAGCAACGAAGGAAGTGTTGAGCATTGAACACAGGTGCAGATAGTCTAGAATAGCCTGTGATCCAGAGCAGGATACCTCCTGTGCTGTGACAAGCCTGTTTGCTGACCAGAGGAAAGGAGCCCTTGGTTAGATGTGGCTATGAAAGGCCAGCCACTTGAACACAGAGAAAAGAGGGAGGACTGCAGAGAAGAGGAGGGCAAGTTTAGAAAAAGGACGGGGATAGGGAGTGATGTGAAGGCCAGTGGGCACCTGAATCAGTGGCAGAAGTAGAAGCAATGGCTACAGTTCCCACGCTTAAAAATGAAGACAGGAAGCTGGGCACTGTAGCTAAGTGGTTAGAACACAGGCCCCCTGCACACCAGGGGCAGCAAGTTTGAACCTCGCCTGGGCCTGATTAAAAACAACAACAAAGACAGGAAAGCAGACGCTGACAGTGAAGAAGAATTCAGTGGTTATAGGACAGATGGCAGCTCCAGGGCCTTAGGGACCCATAAGTATGGCACTGCAACAAGCAAGTGTCTTGATTTTTGACAAAATACATTGTCCTGTGGAAGTGGAGAGGAGAAGTGTTAGAGATCACCAGAACATCTTTGGTTGGAGGCACTCTCAAAAATGACTTAGGGATCAGGCGTAATATCCACAGGCCCTGTAAAGGACAGTCACTGCTCACTGTGACCCTGAATCACCAAGTAAAGATAATTCTTTTCAGTGTTCTCAGTTTAAAGATGGGTAAGGGCCATACTCTAGAAAATTTTTCATCAAGAGAATTTTGTTTGTTTATTTTTTTGTAAAAACACATAAGATCCCTCTTAACAAACTTTTAAATGTACAAGAATGAATTGTTAACGATGGACACAGTGAAGTTCAGCATCAGATTATTGAGGGATTAAAGTTTTTAAGTTTAACTTCATAGTCCACTCAGATGATGTAAGTCAGTGTTTCCCTAACTAAATTCTTCAGATTATTCATGGCCCAATGGATGGGACCTGGAATCCCTTGGAAAGGCCCTTGGCAAATAGGGCTCTTGAGTCAGTCGACTTTGGGAAATCCCTGTCTAGTGGGCTTAAGGCTCTGAAAAGCCTTAGAACAGAGGTTCTCAACCTTCTTAATGCTATGATGTATTTTCATTGTTACAAAGGGGTCATGACCCACAGGTTGAGAACCACTGCCTTAGAAGAACTTCATGTTTCCCAAACTTACTTGGCCATGGAAACCTGTTTTCTGAGGCTATCTTGTAGGACTCTATCATTAGTAAAACCCAATTTGGGAAATACTGGCTTAAGTTAATCTGAATCAGGGGTCCTCAAACTTTTTAAACGGGGCCAGTTCACTGTCCCTCAGACCATTGGAGGACCAGACTGCGGGCCCCAGGACGAGTCAGCTGCTAAGCAGGACAGGCAGCAAAAACACCCAGTGGGCTGGATAAATGTCCTAGGCGGGCCACAGTTTGAGGACGCCTGATCTGAATGTTCTGTAATGAAACTAACCTCAGGAAAATTAGATAGTAGGTCCTACTCCCCCTCAGAACCCATCCCATCTTGCTGAAAAAGCTCAGATCAGTCCGAGAACTGATGCCTGTCACCAGCCTCCTCTGGAGCTCCTTGCCTTGTAAACCTGCTGAACCAGGTACAGTTATCCTAGAAAGGAGTGGTGACAAAGTATTTTGGTTCCAGGTGACTCCTATTGGATGTCAGGTTACAGAGAGGACTGGTAATAACTAAGAACACTGCTAGGAAGAGCTAAAAGACCTTCAGAGCAGGATTCGCCTTTGACTCTGCCGGTGCGCCCTGAGGGCAGCTCTGGCAGCTGGCCTTGCTCTTGGCTGTGGGTGTGTGCAGTCCCTGAAATTGACATGCTTTCCTGTTGCTGTTTCCCTTCAAGGCTATGCCGGTACCACCCATTGGAAGGTCTACATTATAGCCAGAGGAGCCCAGCCTTTGGTCATCTGCGATGGAACTACTCACTCAGAACTATAGGAATCAGAACTTTATTCAGGAGCAACTTTGAGAGCTGAAAACCAGGTTGAAAGGGGGGAAATAAAACAAAAAGAATGAAACTGCTTTCTGGGGGTTGGATACTTAGTTACCTGCCCTTTGCATGCATGTGCCAGCCAACTGTGAGCTGTGAGGCAGTGGCCAGGGCCTACCCCACTTCTTCCCGCAGTTGATTCAAGAAGGACTCTAGCCTGGGCACTTGTTTAGGGCTCTGCCAGCACCTATCTGTGAAAAACTGAACTCTACCAGGCCTCTGGGCACTACAGCCTTCAGGCTGCTCCTCAGGCAGGAAATAGGGCTGGTGCCTTCCTTCCCTGGCATTGCCATGGTCCCTTCTGCTGGCTCTGTGGCAGCAGAGAGGACAACTAGAAGGTTCTGACATCAGAGCCGTCCTTTACCATGTGATCCTGTTCATCCCCGTCTTCCTGGCTATATCACCCTGTACTTTTTTGGAAAGCCATGGCTGATTGAAGAAACCATTACAGTTTCTCAAGCAGAATCTAGAACCAGTAAAAAAAGATCAAATAACCTTGAAATGCCCTCAAGTGTACTTCTTTCCCAGTGCCCGTGGCTCTTGGAGTCTCAGTGATGCCTGAGTAGGGTCTGATTATAATTTGAAATGGAAATTACTAAGATATTATTTTTCTTCATTTTATCAGATTCTTGAGCTCTGCCCCCGACCCCCACCTTGTCCCTTGCTTATCTGGATGGTTTCTCAGAAGGGGCTGGGCCAGAGCCGGTACTGCTAAGGCAGCACCCCTTGTGTCAGCTGTGTTGCCTTTACAAAGTGTCTTCAGAGAGGAATGAGCTGGAGTAGCTGGCCTGGGGAGAGGCACCTCCCTTGGTTTGATCTTTAGGTCTGACCTTCTGCAGAGAAGATATTTTACACATGTGTCAGAGCTGATGTTGTAATGTGGTTGTGGGAGGAACTCCAGACCCAAAGTGTTTGCCAGCTGGGTGTGCAACTATGTGGTCCTGTGTCTTAAAATGATTTCTCTCTTTGTGCTGGGAAACAAGGTGAGGTATTTTTATTGTTTTGCAATAATATAAAGCTATATTCTTCTGATTGAATGATTCACTATGCTTATTTTTCCCCCCAAGTGTTTTTGGTATGTATTAATCAAATGATATAAATAAGGGCACTTTTCTTGTTCCATTTTATTCCTTTATTGACCCTATTAGGCCTTTGGTCATGTCATCACCAAGATGAAGAAAAAAACAAACCTCATGTATGGCCTCTGGCTCTGAATTGCAGAAATCAAATGTATACAGTAGGTGTCTATGTCACTTCAGGATCAGAGGCGGACAGTTATGAGGAAAGGTGGCTGTGATCCTTTGTGGTGTCCTCTTCATCTTGGAGGAGCCCTGCATCTCATCTCCCACACCGTCTTCTAACAGCAGCAGGGGTCATCAAGTGCATGAATGGCCTGTTCCTGGGCTTCTAAAGGACAAACAGAGTTCACAGAACTCGGGGTGGAAACACACGGAGCCTCTTCCAGGTGCTTCAGTGAAACTAGAATGAACTGTACCTGAGGGATTCCTTTAAAGAATCAGCCCCTTGTGTGAATTTATACAGGAAAAACAAAACTTACTGTACATATAAAAGTCATGCTGCTAGGCAATTATGATTTAAGAGGTTTTAAGTCAGAGGGATCATCTGGAAGCCAGCTTTGTGCAAGCTTTTAGAGCCTTTGCAATGTCCTACGCTGGGGAAAGATTATGCATAAACAGGTTCTTTAGAGGCCCCTCAGAGCTATCTTAAATTAGACCCTTTTAGTTAATAAAAGAGAGGCATCCTTAGGAACAAAACAACTGTTTTGATGACTGAGATCTCTGTTTTGTTTCTGTGAGTTGCCTTGTGTTCCTTCTGTATTTCACTCTGGCCCTTTACATCTTAAATGTCTACAAAATATCCACTTCAGCACAAAACTTAAAAACCCTTGCACATGTTCATTTTCTGAAGCATCCCTTGGAAAGTCCCCTGAGCCATTCTGTAACCACTCTTGTTCAACAAAGTGGTTATAGTAGGAGATAGTAGATACTTTTATGCATATAATACTCATTTTTCTTAAAATCTATCTAGTTTATATATCCATGAATATAAATTTATGTTAAGGGAGAAATTCTCCAAAGAGGTCTGCTCTTAATTACCAGATACACAGAAGTCATTCACCTTCTTTTCAAGGTAATTCAAATAAGCAGAATCTACTACTGTCCAGTCCTCCAGGAATGGCTCAGGCTTGCCAGCCAGTCCCTTTCTAGTTATCTGAGGCTTCGTGCAGAATGCCACAGGATTATTCTTTTTTTTTTTTTTTTTTTTTTTGAGACAGAGCCTCAAGCTGTACCCCCAGGTAAAGTGCCATGGCATCACAGCTCACAGCAACCTCCAACTCCTGGGCTCAAGCGAGTCTCCTGCCTCAGCCTCTCAAGTAAATGGGACCACAGGCGCCCGCCATAACACCTGGCTATTTTTGGTTGCAGCCGTTATTGTTGTTTGGCAGGTCCAGGCTGGATTCTAACCCACCACCTTAGGTGTATGTGGCTGGTGCCAAGCCACACAGGATTATTCTTATCCATTTATCCATTTAACTCTCAGCCTCTAGCAGGAAGCAGCAAAAGTCCCTCTGCATGACCTGGTGTGGGAAAGAGGCTCATTTAGATGAGGAGGGATTGCAGGGGCATGGCAATACTACCTAACCAACTCCCCACCTCCATCACTGCAATAAGAATAAAGCCTCAGGTCTAAAAAGAGGGACTTATTCATAAATTTGTTGAGCATCTACTAAGAAGTGCCATGACAGTGACTTCCACATGTGGGTTAGCTTCACTTTCTTAGGTTAGGTTCCCACTGCAGAGATGCTTGTACCCTGAAGTCAGCTCTCTGGGGAGACGAGCTGCTTGGGTGCCAGTTTGAAGCACTTACGTTCAGATGTGCTAAGGAGTTCTGTCAGTTGTTGAATGGACACCACACCTGTTCTGACTGATGCAAAGAGGCAGAGCTTATCTTCACCTCACTGGCAGTTATTTTTAGGGAAGAGAGGAAATAAAATAATAGTGGTTTATGAAAACAGAAATCCGCTGTTTGGTGAAATACATAACAGTAAATGAAATGGGCGGATTTGGGCTCATTTTCTGGGAGAAAGAAATAACATTTGTCTAGTCCATTCTCACAAGTGCCTGATTAATCTTCACCCAGGCCTCTAAAGAAATATTAGATTCTTATTTCACAAGTGAAGAAACTAAGACTTGGAGCAGTAACTACTGGCAGGTAGGCAGCTGGTCCCAGGTTCCATAGCACATTATTTTCCTGCTGCATCACAGTGTGGTGCCTGAGAAAAGTGCTAGGGATTTCCCTCCTGGGCTGAGATTACGTAGGGATAAGGGCCAGCAAGTCAGGAACTCTGCATGGCTTGTTTATAAAACTCCTTTGGACAGGAAGGGAGGAGGAAAGAATCTAACATATGACTTTTATAAAAATCCTTTCGCTTTCTCCCTCCCCATTTGAAAACTTCTAAGAGTGAGTGTTGCTGGAAGACAACTGCATCCAGCCATTTTCCTGTCTGTCACCACATTCTTCCAGATGTGTGACCAGAGGAGGGACGAGGTCCAATTCCAGTTGTGAGTCCCCTTGGAGTTTACATCACTTGTTTTTCAGTTCTCAGATTTCTTTTCCCTTCTCCCCAAATCCAGCATAGGCCTCAGTGTAGGAACAATTACTTTAAAACAAAAATCTCAAGTTCTTAGCAACAGGTAATGGGTTCAAAATCATCTTAATACAGTCTGGAATGAGTTTGCTCATTACCCATTTTCTTAGTAAATTTTCAAACCCCAAAGCACAAATTTGGTTGTCATCATTTCCTTGTCCAACAAGAGAAGGCCAGGCTATAGGTAAAGGGTAAATTGCATGTCCGTTTTTAAGGAGAGGCAATTTTGTCTAGCTTTTGAGAATTAGTTATTAGGTAGCCAAAGGCTGAGAAACAATGAGAATCAGTTATTAAACATGGGGTGTCAGGTATTTGAGCTCTTAGCAATAGAGGAAATACCATTCCAGAGTATACAGTTTCTACGCTCATACCTTTTAGTGGTAACCCTCGATGCACTAGAATTTGTTGAAGGAAGGGAGTGTCAGAGATGTGTTTTTAAATCGTACTTTAGGCTGAGATTCTCTCTCCATATTTGGACCTGGAGGACAGCAGACTAGGAAGGGGAAGGTGCATTTAAGGAGACAGCACTGTAGCAAATAAAAAAGGGGAGGCCTGTCTTCAGCAGCTGCATATGTGCCTGTCACCAGCAGCTGCATATCCCTGTCTTCCCTACCCCCAGCCTCAAGGTAGCTTGTAGGTTCTTCAGCAGCTGCATATGTGCCTGTCACCAGCAGCTGCATATCCCTGTCTTCCCTACCCCCAGCCTCAAGGTAGCTTGTAGGTTCTTCCACAAAAGCCAGTCTGCAAGAGGGGCAGGTACTCTCACTCTCATGCACCACATCCAATCCATCCTCCCTGGACACAGCTGACTAAGCGCTGGCCTTCATAAGGAGCCTCAGCCAGCTTGTCTATCATCCAGGTCCCTCAGTGTCTGGTTTCCCTGCCCTGCATAATTTAAGCATTAGAGCTAAATACATCTGTCATTTTCTTTTCTCTGGAGACAGTGAGATGTCCAGACTTTTTCAGATTAGTGGAGAGAAGGAATGTTACATAACTAAGTGGAGGCCTGGACCGGACCTCTTGAGACGTGGTTGGAAGAACTACTGTTCGGCGTGTCTGTCAGTCAGGCAGCAGCCATCAACGCAGGAGTGAGCCGTGGCTGCAAGCACCGTGCAGAGATGGGAACCCAGTGGGGTTTTAAGTTTCAAACGGAAAATAAGGACTTGGGACATCTGCTTTGTGCCAGCCTCCATTTATCTCATTACTCCTCACAGCTCAGCAGTGTCCCCTCAGAGCACTTTTAATCTAGTCTCATCACAGGCAACTTTCCCTCCACATTTCTTTCGACAGTTTTAACCCCAGAAAAATGCTGGTTGTGGTTTTTTTCTCTTCCTTCCTCCTGAGGAAAAGCCAGTAATAGATGTCCAGGTTTGGGGAGCCGGAGACTTAGCAGACAGCCACTGCCTTGCCATCACCAGGAACAGGAGCTGGTGGCAGCCACAGTTCATCTTCAGGGAACCAGGGTGTAGGGCCTGGATGGTGCCAGCACAGGGGCTCGGAATGGTGTGAGCCGTGAATGTGTGTACGTGTTCAAGTGCTGGATGTTGAACAAATGCTTACTTTGTACACTGCAAACTTGCAAAGACTTCCACCATGTAAAGAATGTATGTAAAGTTTTATGTAATGAAAATTTTTACTTTTTGCAATTAAAAGTGTATGTTAGTTGATAAAAACTTTGGTATTCTTGATGTCATTCTTTAACTTCCAGTTTTCTTTTGTTTCTTCTTTTCCTTCCTGTATCTCGTTTAGATGTATAGCCACATCCTCACATCCTCTCTTGAGGTGAGCCTCTGGGGCTCCTCTGTGGGCCTCACTATGTCCCTGACCCTGCCTGGCTTTGATCTTCCCTAGAATTCTCTGCACTGTTGTGCTTGCTTGTGTTCACAGGCTCTCTATCCCCATTCCAGCCCTTCCCCCTGGTGGCATCTGATCTGCTATTGCCATGAATCCTCAAATCTCAGTCCTCCTTAATACGTTGCCCTATCCATGCACTTAGTCCAGAATTCAAATGAAACCCCAGATGCCTTTTTCCTTCTCACCAGCTAGTTGTGCTTGGCCCAGATGACCTGACCGTGGCTCCTCACCCATGGGTGTCCTGGGTTCTCACAGGACAGGCACACTGCCCCCTTGTTGGCCCAGCCCAGCTGCCACCAGGTAACAGGCTACTTTTAGCATATAATTAACTCAATGCAGATTTGAGTCATGTCATTTTAGTGTGTTCGTATTTATTTTTTTGTAATTTTTAAAATTATACATAGTGTTTTTTGTTTGTTTTTGAGACAGAGTCTCACTTTATTGCCCCCAATAGAGTGCTGTGGTGTCATCATAGCTCACAGCAACCCCTAACTCTTGGGCTCAAGTGATTCTCTTGCCTCAGGCTCCCAAGTATCTGGGACCACAGCCCCCCCCACCACAATGCTGGGCTATTTTTTATGGGGGTCTTGTAGCTTCAGCTGGTCTCCAACTCATGAGCACAGGTGGTCTGCCCACCTCAGCCTCCCAAAGTGCTAGGATTGCTAGAGTGAGCCATTGTGCCCAGCCTTTATACATAGTTTTAAATAAATGAATAAATTATACCTTTTTTTTTTTTTAGAGATAGAGTCTTACCTTTTTTTTTTTAAGAAATAGTCTCCCTCAGAGTGTTGTGGCATCATAGCTCACAGCAACCTCCAGCTCTTGGGCTTAGGCAATTCTCTTGCCTCAGCCTCCTGAGTAGCTGGGACTACAGGTGCCTGCCACAAAGCCCAGCTATTTTTTATTGCAGTTTGGCCAGGGCCCAGTTTGAACCCACCACCCTCGGTATATGGGGCCAGCACTCTACTGAGCCACAGACATCGCCCTCAGACCATTTCTTATATACTGTTTAGTGTCTTGTTTTATTTTCCTTTACTGCTGTGCCCTTCCTCTTCCTCCATTACCCCACCCTTTCCCTAGTTAGCTAAATATTACTTAGAATGGCAATGCCCTGCCATGTATCTTTCCATATCTCCATGCTCTCCAGTCATATCACAAACAAGGTTTTTGTCATTGCTTTACCAATAATGGGATCATATTACAGGCACTTTTCTGTGTCCTGCTTTGCTTACTAAGCTCCCACAGTGTTCT